GAAACCAGCCCCAAGGTTTATGATTGCAGTGTTTCAATCCGCCTAATAAACTAGAATTTTAAGGATCCCAAGTTGGACATTTGTAGCCAACAGTCCGAATCCTGCAAGTGGGTCTGGATGCCTGCACTCTGCCAAGTCCTACCACCCCCCACGGAGACCCAGCAATTAGCGCACGGCACCTTGCCTGCCAGCCTCACAATACAGTTCAACCCGAAGCAATGGCCCCTGCAGCAACTCCTACCTTCCTGGTCATGTGACCAGTCATACTCAGGTCTATACACAGCCAAGGCCCACACTCCTTGGCCTCCAAAAGCCGCTCCCTTGTAATTGCCTTTAAAACGCGCTTGCTGTGCTGCTCAGATGAACCTGAAATGCAAAGCCATATGTCAAGACTGGGGAAGAAAGCTGATTTGCTGAAGTTATTCCAAGTACCTGCAACATCACCATAAATCACTGGGGTCCATCATTTTCATAGGAGCCCTTGGAGATGGACTAACCCAGGGGTGGCTAAACTGCAGAATATGTGCCACAAGTGGCACAGGCAGCTTCCATGTGACAGGCAGCAGACTGGGGAGGGGACAGGAGCACAGCGGTAGATAGGGCAGAGAGCAGAAAACAGCAGCAGATTCGGCAGAAACCATATGGCAGAAAGCAGAGCAGCCAACCAGGCAGGGGAAAAGGATCGGAGCAGATCTCAGAAGGATGTGGATCTAATTTGTGGCACATCTGCCAAGAAGGTTGGCCCCCACTCAACTAGCCAATGGATGACCCCTGTCATGGTGCCTTTCCCCCCCTTCTCATCTGTATTTTTCAGTGTTGCCCTGGATCTTTTTTTCTTCTATCTCAATTTTACTTGCTTGCTTTGGGTTCTTCCCCTCTGTTCCTCTGGTGTCCCCTTCCCCCACCTGCCAGCAGCCACTGTCTTCTGCAATCATCAAACTGATCTCAGCCAGGGAAGCACAGGGAACATAGCAGTCCAAGAGAGACCATTGTGGAAGACCACAGGGCCTGACACTGAGGGGCAGGGCCAGACCACAGAGGTAAGGCAGTAACAATTGAGACAAGTGCAGCCATTCTGGGGACGATCCAGAGTTACACAACAGCTTCCCTTATTCACCCCTCACCCCACCTCTGCTTCACACATGCTAAACTAGTCAGGAGATTCATTTATAAAAAGCTGATATCACTTTTTTCTGTGGATTGAGCATTTTCAAAGAATTGGATTTAAAGCCACACTACCAGGAGTTTGGACTAAATCTGAATGCACTGAACTCCAAGAGGCAACATCCCAATTCAGTATTGGGAATTCAGTGTGATATGAACCTCTGCAAATTTATAAACATATCTTTACTATAGAGTTAATTTCTGCCCCACCTCCATACAGAAACTCTGACTTGTGTGCCGCTGCTCATAAGAGAACACCACTCATGCTAGCACAATCCCCCTGCATTTTAGGTGTGGCTGCTCTCACCCAAGTGAGAAGAGTTACTGCAAATGTCACCATTTTGAGTTAACTCCACAGTGAAATCAATCAACACACGCAGACAAATGCTGCACAGGAGCCAGCTCACCCCAGCTGAAGACCCAGCCCTATTGTTTTCTGGCTGCTTGTACCTTTATCTTCACCATGTTTGGCTTTTCTTCTCTCTCTTTCCTGTTTTCTCTTATTCTTCTTTGCTGTAACTGTTCTTTCCCAGTGTCTCTGTTTCCTTAGAACATTCCTCTTTTAACACAAAAAGAGAACAAAGAAGGACTGAGACTTTCACAGAGCCCCAAGGGATCTAAATATTATCAAGTTACACCACTTTTCTAAAACTGAGATGCAAACTAGAGTCCGCTTTAAAAAATGATCATTTTCAGCCACATTTAGCACCTGCAGATTTATTCGCCCACAGCCTTTAGTCCAGGAACCTGCGTGTGCCACTTGAGTTTCTTCCTTGTGCAACATTCCTTGTGCCTGCAAAAGTGTGCAGGCAAATATTTCAGAGGGATTGAAGTACCCTGAGCTTAGAAACCAAAATTTCATTGTACATTAAAGCAAAAAAAAAAAAAAATAGTTTGAGAGGCTTTACGGCCTAAAAACAGTAATAGGTGAGAAGGAAAAAGACACTGAGTAAGTCTGTTCTTTGAAGAAGATCCCATTCAAAGACAGCAGGAACAAGCCTCAGTCTAAAATATTTTCCTGTTCCAAGATTTCCCCACCACCACCCTCCCAAGTGAAAGGATCCATGCTGTTTTCTTCCCCCACCAAACAACATTCACAAACGACACTCCACACATCTTTAAAATGAAAAAATCAGCATCCCCCATTGCCTTCCTTAACCAAGTTCTGCAACTCAGATAATCAAAATAAAGCTTAGAAAGACTGAATTTCCTTTGGCCATTTGTTCTATTCCCCCCTGTTTTGCCCATTTTTGCTTACATGGATAAAGCAAGCCACTTAGTTTCACCATCCCAGACCCAACCTCTTCTGCTTTCTTGGGTTTCTAGCACTACAAGGGAACACTCACATGGTAAAAATCCCTGGGATCATAGAGAACAGAATGGCTTGTTTTAGTAGTTGTTTTCAATGGATCCAGTGCCAGCAGTGGGGGTTCACACTACAGTGACTGGGCCTGTTGGAAATTTGACCTCCCGTATACTAAGAGTATTAGGCTTTGAACGCCCACCTGTGCAACCTTGTGTGCTCTCACAAGCCCCTTGGCTGCCAGGGGTGGCTCACCTAGGTGTATTGAAAAGACCAGGGACCCTAATTTGCAATGTACATACCGAGACCCACATCTCACATCCCACAGGAAGGTCCTTTGGGCTGTCCCAGCCAGTGTCGATCTGCAGGAAACTTAAGCTTTCACAGACATCCTCCTCGTGCCCTCCATTTCCCGGGCAGATTGCCCCACACTCCCAGTCTTGGTCTAATGCAGCCATGAAGTCGCTGTGCTCTGTCTCCAGCTCTGCATGTTTCATTTTTTTCTTTGCCCTGAACATGCCAGATAGAGAGAAGGGGGTCAGAGTCTAAAAAGAGCAGCTCACGCCAGCACCAACCAAGTTTATTTCTAGAGGCCAGGCACACCATACCTGCCTTCTGACTTCCTGGTCTACTGCACCCAGGGAGGCAGACGGGAAACCTCATAAGTCAGCATGAAGTTGCACCCCATGGAGTCACACCACCTGAAGTACTCCAGCCAGGAACACACAGTCCGAGCAGCAAGTCTGACTGGCTACATTTATCAGCCTGACTTTTGGCTGAAAGCAAAGACAGTACCACAATGAGGAATCAAGAGAGGAAGTGCATGCTGCACAATCAGCAGGCCTGGCCATTTACCCCTCTCTGTGGGAGACAGCCAGGATGAAGCAAGGTGGGTAGGGTGGCCATCGTAGAGGGCAGTCCGGTTATCCTCTAGTGATATGTAAGTGGATGCTTTTATGTCCTCTATTTTTCTCTTGAATGGAAAAAATTTCTTGAAGAGAAAAATAGAGGCCATAAAGGCGTGCGGTTTCATATCAATAGCAGACAGAGGAGCAGAAAACCAGACTGTCCTCTATGATGCCCCCACTCCTTGCAGCCCTCCTCGCTCCGGCCCCAGGGGCTTTCCCGGGAAGGGCTGCGAGGCTCCCCTTCCCCAGGCCGCCCTCTCTCCCATCCCCAGCCCCAGCCCCAGCCCCTGCCCCGCACGGCTCACCCAGGTGGGAGCAACCCCAGTCGCTAGTGCCCGGGCCGGGACCCTGCAAGCTACGCCAGTGCGCAGCTGGAGGCGGTCCGCCCGCGCTGCATGCCGGGAGCTGTAGTTCAGCCGGCCCCGCCCCGAGCTCGCCCGCCTCTTTGAGCCAGTTTGTCTCCGAGGTGCTGCCTGCCCCCAGCTCCATGTTTCTCACCCCAAGTGCCCCAAGATGTCTTCAAGGGTGCCATGAGTGTGAGCAGAGAAATGCAGGCCTGTGCTCGTCTCCGCCTGGCAGGTGGTAAGCACTGTAATAAATACAAATCAGCAGTTGAAATTGGGTGCTGCCCATCTTAGAAAAGCTATGGATGGGTACCTCCAGTCTAAAAGGGTGGGAACCACTGCCCTAACTGCTCAGTGACTACTGGAAAGGCGGGCGTGCATGCAGTAAAAAAATTAATAAGTAAAATAAAAAATCTTTCATCACATTTTCTGCAAAGTTGCAGGCAATAAGTCAAAGAGCTCTTTGTGTCTGTGAAGCCCCAGATTGAGTTTTGCTAAACTATGCCCTGTTCATTACCATGGCATCTCAGTTCTCTCCCCCTTGGCTTCTTCCTTCACCTGAGAGCAAACCCTTGCTTTATTTCTACTCATTACTATTTTTAACCACCTTGTCCTTTGCAGTGATTTTGGGGCTATGGGGCATTTGCTTTGTTTGCAAAGTTTTTGTTGTTCTTAGAAGCAGAGCTGACACACCTTGTTCAGATGGCCTCCACTAGACAGCCTTTCTAAAAATTGTTCATACCACTTTCAAACTTTTTCCATTCAGGTTGAAATTTTTCATGCTGGGTGCTGCCTTCCACTATTTGTTTAAAATCCCTCTTTTCTTCAGCAAAACCTCACAGTCAAGGATGACTTGTCTTATCTGTGCACCTTCTTTCATATGACAAAAACAGCATCCATATCTTTATCTTTGTGCGCTTTGGCGTTTTTGTTGATTTGGGAGCTCTTGGCCATCAGAGACGTTACCAGGGATCACTGTGTGGAAGTGGCTCTTGTCGATCTGCTCTGTGTGTCTGAAGATGGCTGATAAGGCCTGTCCGGAATCAACAGACTACTGAAGCTCAGACATGTTTTCATGTGGGGTGGGTGGTACTGGATTCTAGATTTGGCCCAAGACACTTTCTGCCACTCCCATTTTTCCATCTCCTATTGATGTCATGAGGTTTTAAAGTACTGGGATCCTTGCAGCAGACTCTTCCTCCATTTGGGGCGCTCCTGGGCAATAGTCTCCCACCAGTTGACATCAATATTGCATTTTTTAAGTTGACCTTGAGGATGCCCCTGAAGCACTTTCTCTGCCCTCCTCTTGAGTGCACACCTTGGCTGAGCTGGGAGAATAAAACTTGCTTTGGGAGTCTGGAATCAGACATCCGGATGACATGGCCAGCCCAACGAAGTTGATGTTGGATGATTATCACTTGTGGTGTTTGCTTGCAGGAGGATGCCAGCATTGGTACATCTGTCTTCCCTTAACCATTTCCAAGAAGCAGATTAAATCTATTATTTTTATCGCATTAAACAATTATTTTGACTTTTTTATTGAGAGCTTAAGTGCCTCCCTACTTTGGAGCAGACTTGAAATTTGGCAGCATAATTTTACCCTGTTGCCAGGAAGATGCTATTTGATGTTACTGTAAAAAGTCTAAATTTGGCATAGTATAAGCCTCTGAAAAATTCCTTCTCAGGCACATTCAGTCAGGAGTTGAGTTGGCTGGCTGCTAAACTGTTCCAAGTGTCTATCTGGACTGAGCATAATATATCCCCTCTGAATTCCCATGCACAAACCAGACTGACCATGTTCCACACCACACAGCTCTTCCCGGAACCTGGACTGCATGCATGCCATCCTCACACAGTGACTGAGCCTACTCCATCCCAGGGCTGTTGGGACTGTGCAGAACCTTTCCTGCAATTGCGCAGGCAAACTGAGTTCAGGTATTTACTAACTTCTGAGCACCTTTTTCTTTCGTCTTTGATGCAGTCATTTATTACAGGTATGGCTGTGGTTCATTGACCTCTAAACTGGTATCAGTTGTTGTTGCATAAGCTGCTGTACAAACACATTCTCCACCACAGTCTCCATCACTGAAAAGCTTATGAGGTAAAGAGAGGAAATTGGACAAAGGGGAACAGTATGAGCCCTGTATTAATATAGGGAACTGAGGCACAGAGATTAAGCTTTGGTTTGCCTAAATAGCAAAAGGGATCAGAGCCAAGAACGGAACCAAAGTTCTCCTTGGTACAGGCGACCCTTGCCATTTGCAAGGGATATGTTCTCGTATCCCCCACAAATGGTGAAATCCATGAATAAGGCACTGCGTTTATGAACACAATCTGCTTTCATGAACACAGTGCCCCTGGCGCCTGGGAAGGGGGGGCACAGCTCCAACAGTGGTGGCGGGAGCCCGGCAGCAGCAAGCGTGGAGCTCCTGAGGAGCTCCTATAAGTGTATAAAGTGTATTTAAAATGCGGGTTCGGCATTCGCAAATATTTGAAACTGCGAATGCCAAACCTGCAAATAGCAAGGGTTTCCTGTACAAACACACATTTAAAAGTGCACTTTTGGGTGGACTATTTCATGACTAAATAAAAAATCATTTCAATTACCTAATTTTTTTATTTGAAAATATGGTCCCATGTATGTATTGTATATGTATATAAACACGCATCATTCTTATGCTACTATAAACACACATACATGCATTTACATAAATACATATGTGTCCATGTGCATTTGTATATACACACAAATGCACATATCTGTATCTATCAAAATATTATTCTTTCCTGTTGCTCTGTATTGCTAATGCTCAGGTGATACATTACAGCAGCGACAGGCAGTAGTTGAGACTTATGGGGGAAATACATTTTGGAGAGGAATGGAAGGATCATTTAGTTCACAAAAGAAAGGAGGCTTCTCCGGACAGGGTGCATATAAACCATGAGAGAGCACAGAAGGGTATAAGCACAGGGACCCAGGATGGGCAAGTCTGTGAGAGCCCTGAAAGAGGTACAGAACCAATTATGACTTCCAAGAAGGGTCTTGAAATAGGTAGAGGAGCCCTGGTCAGAGAGACAAAAAAAAGAGTAACCATTAAATATCCCTTGCAGCACCCCTGGACAGCAGAGAAGTCTAATACCCCTTGTACAATGAGGAAACCAAACGCAAACCAAAGTTATATGACAGCCAGGTAGGCTGTCCATACATATATAGCTGGACTTCGCCCCACCAGTTTCAATTCTGCAACCAGAGTGGTTTAGACACAGAAATCAGAGAGAGCTGAGAAATGTGCACACAAAAGCTGTACTGAAGCTCTGCAGGCTTGAAACAGAGAGCAATACCAAGCCCTGGCCTAGCCGGGCCATCCTCCCTGGAGGTGGCAAGTGGCCACAGTGTAGGTTTTTCCTAAGCAATTTGTAATCTTGCCCTTCACATAAGGGGTGGACAAACTCTTAGCAATGGCAGCCTGAATTAATGCAGCTCAGTGCAGAAGTGGGCCACTGATTACAACTTGAAAAATGCTTACCTTGCTACCCTTTCCCCCTAACACATCACCAAATGCACCACCTATTCTCCCTACTGCTGAATTGCTACCAACATCCTGGCTTTTCAGGCCAGATAAAATCACTTGGTAGGCCAGATCTGGCCCAGGAGCTCTACATTTTCAACTCCTGTTCTGCAGAACTGTAGATTTCACAACAAAAAATAGGTGGATTTAGCTGCTATGTGAAATATGCATGCAAGCCAAAATAACTGGTTTGGGATTCTTGCAACATGTTATATCATGCAGTCCATGTAAGTTTCTCCTCATGCTTGTCATCAATAGATTGTTTTCTGGTGTTTTCACCACAAAGAGGTCCTGGGCAGATAGCTGCTTTCTGTGAAATGCTGTTAAACAAGCTCTGCAAAGATTTGCCAGACAGCACTTTCTAATGAGTGAAGTGCAGGACTACTAAGTGAGGAACAGGGAAAACACATGCAACAAATAACACACTAGAAAGCAAACAGCAAATGCAGAAAATATGGTCAGTGATATTCCTGGCTCCAGACAGGTCTTCTCTTCCAGACACGATACATACTAGCACCACCAGAAAAATAATATCAGCTACCTGGGCCAGTGCTCCGATCCAGTACAACCAATGTTAAGTTCCAGTATTCCTTCACTTTCTCTCTTCTATACCTGAAAAACAAGACTAAAATAAATAAAGATTCACTCTCTGTCATAACTATCTATCCATCTGAGGGGTTAATACTGCTGCTAATCAGCATGGCATGGATTATCAGTAGTAATGTCATGAGTGGAGTTTATGGAAGTCCCATGCTCTGAGCTTTTTTCCCTGTTTGAGTTATAACCATTATAGAAAGTACCACTTAAGGTTTTCCTATGGAAGGAAGGGGAACACAGTGACCAGGGTGTTCTCCAATTCCCAGGAATATCACATTAAGACTCCATTATCAGCCTGCTGCTGAGAAACATGCTTATTTATCAAGTCCCTAAGTTATTAAAAAAAAAACTTTCCCTGCAATCAAACTAATTTTGTGCCTGACTTTCACTTAGATTTAACAAGACACCCTGGAGGGGTTAGGAAAACATCTGATATAGCTGGCCAGACAAACTAGTGCTTCTGTATTATATGTTTGATTGAGATAAAAGCTCATTAGTCATGGCACATTTTCTTTGATGCCCATAACAAAAACAAAATATTAGTTCTCCATTAACTGTAGCAAGGCAAACTTTATGACACAATACATGATTTCTAACCCATATATATAATCATAGAAAATTAGGGTTGGAGGGGACTTCAGGAGGTCATCTAGTCCAACCGCCTGCTCAAAGCAGAACCATCCCCAACTAGATCATTTTGACCAGGCGTTGTTGAGCCGAACCTTCAAAACCTCCAAGGATGGAGATTTCACCACCTTTCTGGGTAACCCATTAGAGTGCTTCACCACCATCCTAGTGGGAAAGTTTTTCCTAATATCCAAACTAAACTTCCTGTGATGCAACTTGAAACTGTTGCTCCCTGTTCTGTCATCCGCCACCATTGAGAAAAATCTAGCTCCATCCTCTTTGGAACCCCTCTTCAGGTAGTTGAAAG